TCTCTGATTTCATTGCCCAATAAGTAGAGCATGGCCTTGAATAGGGACTTGTTACAGGTTTTTTTTACGTTTTTGTTTTCATTGGGATTAGAAAATTTACATGAATATTTGTTATTATTATTATTATTATTCAGCTGAAATTGTGATAGTAACCTTCTACGGGAATGTACTACACGATAGTGGCGCCATCAGGCGGTGAGGCTAAGTACTTATCGAATGTAATAGTACTTCCACTACTAATTATAATAATCTGACTAATTTAAATACTTCCGATTGATGATATTCCCTTGAATAATAATATGTAAATAATGCCTGACAGTTCAAAAATTTCAATTTAATTCAAGTAAGATACGTACATCGTTATCAGTACACAAATGTACAATTTATAATATCTAATCAAAATCCAATGCGGCGATGCAATAAACAATAAATTATATAACAGTGATAGATGCACAGTTAACTTCAGTATGTAATCTCTTCTCGAATGTTTATATTTTTAACCTCCTACATTATCACCATCAAAACGTATTTTAAATATGAAACAGCTGAACGGTATTGTTTTTCGTATTTTGATTAGTTCTTACTTAGCTAACAGTAAATGGATAGGAATATATACTCTTTTCATCTAACAGTAGTTTCTACCTTAATACTACTGGTACTAGTATTTTGATTTATACAGGATGTTCCAATTCAAAGAGATATGCTTATTATAATAAGTCTCAATTTCAAATACTATAAAGAGTGGTTATAAAGTGATAAAGTCTTGAAAATGTATAGAATATATATTGGTTAATTAACTTAGTTTTTTCAGATTATGTTATCTAAGCAAATACATGAGTTCGGTTTCTCGATTATCTCCGTTGCTATAGGTGAGGGACTAACCTAGGGAGGAACTTGCTGGTTACCGACAACTGACGGTAGACAACGCAACCAAAGACTTCATGCCTTAACCTAGACGCGATATGCTCGCGGAAAGTACTGCAATATGTGAAGGGTACATGGAAAAAAAGACGAATGTCACAAATTTGGAGTTTCGTAGTTAGAACCGGCAACATATAGACTTAACTCAGTACAGTCCCATGAGGTATCGGAAAAACGCAAAAACAATTACAGTTCGTAGTTATATATAGTATATATAAAAAAAGATGAACGTCCACTGTCGTCACCGAAACTAGAAGCTACTACTACAGTTTGCCATACACCAATCTGCTACGAAAGAAATAAACGTTAACTAATAATTTTTTTGATTAATTGTTCTTTCCTGGCCCAATTAAAAAAATAATTAGAAATAATTCTGTATTTGAGGTTAGAAAATCACATTTTTCACATGTTCTCGTCCCTGAGTAATAAATTTCCTGTTAAGATAGTTCTCATATTAGAATAGATTCTGCAGGGTGGCGTATATGACGAAAGGCTCATTTCTACCCTCAATATTTCCAAAAAAAAAGTTGAAATGAGGCATGCACGCTAACACATAAAAAATGTTTAAAATCATAAGGCGAATATCAAAATACCAAAATAAAAGCGATTTTCCATTAAATTGTCTGCTTTCACTTTTGGGCAACCATGGATATCAAAAAATATTTTTTTATTTATAATTTAACTTTTATTCAATTTCTTATAACAAGGAAACTATGGTACTCCGTTAGATCTTCGACCCACCCTGTACAACGAGGCTAGGAGTGTTCAAACTTTTAAATTCACTTTTCTGACTTTTTGTGAAAATATGACAAGACAAAAACAGATTAAAAATTATTTAAAAAACATTAGAGCATTACATCGTGAAGCCACTTGATGATTGCACAAAATGGTGGTCATATTTTATATAATTTTGACCATTGTACCATGTATCCAGCTCTCACCATGTTACTAGACGTTTCCCTCATCCTATACGTAAACAACAATTAGCAACATCCTCACATACTACTGTAAGTTGAGTCAATTTAAATTCATTTTACACTTTTGTTGCTACTGTTATCGTTGTAATTGCAGCTCCTGATGATGATGGCAAAGTCCATTGAAAGCTAGAGAGAATTAAAAAAAGTATAAAGAGTCCTCTTTGCTTAAATTTTGTCGAAGTACCCAACAAAAGGCGGAAGCTTTAATTTTTCACCTATATATATATATATATATATATGTAACGAGTACTTTTCAGAAGATGAGGTTATATTTCACAACAACCTGTGGAAAGTGCAAGTCCTAATAGATACATATGCCTATTTCAAAATCAACATTGATTAACTACGACCTGGCGGTAAATTGTGTTTTGTGGATAGGCTTTTCCGACTTTGAATCTCCGTTTACAACCCACGAATTCCACGGCTAGACATTGCATCATACTCGTTATTAAGGCGTGCCGCAAGTTTCGCTGACACGACCATTCAATTTTTCTTCATAATTTAAATTTTGAAACATTAAGATCACCTTTGGACTGTTGACCACGCTAGCTTTTTAAGGTAATTCCAGGATGTGTAATGGAAAAGTTTTGATAATTAATTATTCAGTAACTTTTTCTAAATCCATTTGTGGTGTTTGGTGAAACATGGTCATAAGTTTTAATAATTTTTCCAAAAGAATCCCATAAATCCATTTTTTGCTCGACCTACTATTTGGACTCATCCATATTTTCTAATATCAAATTTTAGCTCCAATCTCGCTGACGCACTCCTGATGATGATAGCATAGACTGTCGAAAGCTTGAGTTGTAAGTTAGTGAATTGCATAATTTGTTGATTTCCCTAAAGACGAGTTCTTCCACTTATATATAAGAGAAAAGGATCATGCAGAAAAAGGTTTATAACAAATAGAAAAATAATGGGCAAAATCCGCAAACAGAAAGAAAGTCGATTCGAGCATAAAACAGGATAAGTAGCCCCGCGCCATACGTATTTCCGCTTATTGGCTTCATCAGGCCCGAAATTAATGCACATATGCACCTAGAAAAGTAAATACACATGCCCATACATCCGGATACGGGTATAACATGAGGAATCGAAGATAGAGAGGGAAAAAATGATATACGAAGTCACCAGCACGAGCCAACCTACACATTGTAGTATAAAATGGCTAGAAGACCTCGAATTTTCAAGGCGACATCTAACCACAACCAAGCGGCCGGTTATAGCCACTTGCGTGGTACTTCAAGCCCAAAGGATCTACAAAGAGAAAAGGATCATTCGGAAAAAGGTATGCAACAAATAAAAAAATAATGGACGAATTCCTCAAAAGAAAAGGAAAGTGAATTCGAGCAGAAAGTAGGATAGATAACCCGATCGATACGTATTTCTGCTTGTTGGCTTCATCAAGCCCGAAATGAATGCACATATGCAACCACGAAAGTAGATACACATGCCCATACATCCGGATACGGGTGTAACCTGTGGAAACGAAGATGGAGAGGGAAAATACACACACATATATATAGCGTAATAAATATGGTACAATATTATGTACTGAAGTAACGCTATTGATCGACCAGGCTAGTTCAATTATAGTCCGAGCTGTCAATATGGCAAATTTAATATATCAGTGAATATTGCAATACTTCCCACGACCTCATCGCATCTAGGCTAGGGCATGAAGTCCTTGGTTCCATCTACCGACGGTAGGTATGTACGTACCGATAAAAGCAAGAATACAGGTCCTGGTAACTAAATAAATGAGGATAAATCTTATAGTCATAACAGTACATAACATATTTTATTGAATGATTAACATAGACTTAAACCTTTGCATGCAGTTTTCATTTGGTGAGTACGACACACTTTTTATCTATGTTTTTGGAAACTGCTGCCTTTTCGAGTGTGCTTGAAGAAACAAGACTCTGGGAGCTTTTTCAGTGTGTCACGTGTCTAATGCTTGCAAAGTGAGTTGGCATATTTACATTCCAGATCACGTTTGGAAGATAAATATAAATTCGCATGTTTTCTCAGTGGTTATTTTTATTTGAACAGTAATTTATACGTTTACATTCGGATTCCAAGTAAATCCTCATTTAATTAGACAGGTTGAACTGCTTTCATTAAGCGCATACATACCGACCATACGTAAATTCCTGGTTAAATCATAATGCGAGATGTATCTCGGCGTTTCATCGGCTAGACACATAATAACGACTATATTATCGAATTGAATACAATCAGGAGTAATCACGTGACCTAGGTAATCACCAGATTTCTGTGAAAATTTTAATTTTTCTAGCTGAATTTTGAAAATGGCTGTCCTGAGCGTATTAAAAACTTTTCTTCGAGGTTCTACATATTTTTGAAGAGCTGAACTAAACATAGTTATGCCATCTAAGTATACTAGACAACATTCGTTGTTTAAACTTCTTAAAATGTTCTCCATGACTCTCTCGGATTGACTAATTTTTAAACCAAATGGCATTCGTGTAAATTCCCATTTATCTTTTACTGTCGAAAATGCAGTTTTTGGAATGTCATATTCTTCCATTTCTATTTCATATCCTTAGACTACAAGAAGAGTTGTAAAATAGTTTGATCTACCTAATTTTTCTAGAATATCGGTAATTTTTGGAATTGGTTATCGATCATCTAATGCGCGTTCATTCATTTTTCGATAATCAATAACAATTCTTCATTTTTGTTTACCAGATTGATCTAATTTCTTGGGAATAATGCAGATAGGGTTCGAAAAGGGCGAGTTTGAATTTCTAATAACACCTTGTTCTAATATTTTATTAATTTGATTAGTGGCTTCTAGTTTGTGAACTTCAGGAAATCTATATGACCTAGTATAAATGGATGTGTCGTCTGTTAATTTTATTTTATGCTTGATTTCATTAGTAAAGCTTGAAGAGATGTGTTCGCAACAAATCTCGTACGGATCGATTCTCGTGAAGCTGTCGGTAAGCTCAGGAGGTCATACTCTCTCTCTATCTCTTTCGAATGGAACAACCGATGCCACTGTGGGAAAATAATATGTTCAAATGAATAATGACCATTTACGTTAATGTTTTCAAAGGTTATATTTGTTTTTAGTTACACAATCCCAATGTTCATCCAAGGATTCAAGCGAGACTTGGAAGAGTCTGATCTCACAGAAACATATTCGAAGCACAAATCTGACTATCTGGGAAACAAAATGGAGAGTTACTGGAAAGCTGAAGAGGAAAGAGCTTGTAGAAAGCAAAAGAAGCCTTCACTCCAAAGAGTGCTTATCAAAGCGTTCGGATGGGAGCTTATGTTTTATGGTATTGTGCTTTTTTTGAGCGAAGCTATAAGGTTAGTAGTGATGCTATTAAAGCTAATCGGGTACTGCATTATTCTACTATACAGAGCGATTAAAAAAAACTGGCAATATTCATTACACACACACAGAGACACGCACACGCGCACGCGCTCGCGCACACCCACGCACACGCACACGCACACGCACACGCACACGCACACGCACACGCACACGCACACGCACACGCACACGCACACGCACACGCACACGCACACGCACACGCACACGCACACGCACACGCACACGCACACGCACACGCACACGCACACGCACACGCACACGCACACGCACACGCACACGCACACGGACACGCACACGCACACGCACACGCACACGCACACGCACACGCACACGCACACGCACACGCACACGCACACGCACACGCACACGCACACGCACACGCACACGCACCCGCACCCGCACACGCACACGCACACGCACACGCACACGCACACGCACACGCACACGCACACGCACACGCACACGCACACGCACACGCACACGCACACGCACACGCACACGCACACGCACACGCACACGCACACGCACACGCACGCGCACGCACACGCACACACACACACACACACACACACACACACACACACACACACACACACACACACTTGAAAATGTTCATCAACTATTGAAAAATCCTTCATATTTCCTAATAACATCCACATTATCCAACACGTGCCGGCCGACTGACACTCTCCAGTGGCATGTGAAGTGTGACATTGAAATTATTGACCCGCTATCGAACGATTCGTACTTGTGATGTGTGTTGCCTACTATGTGTTCCGTAAACTAGTACGAGGGTTATCCGATGAAGTTCAGAGTTATTTTCAAAATTAATAAATATTATTGTGGAAGGAGTGTGATTTGGATGCTATCCCACCACCGAGCTAGGTAATACAAAGGAACTTTCAAAACTTGAGGAAAGATGATTTGGAGCAAACTTATTTTAATTTTGATTATAGATAGTGAAAATTTAAGTAATTAGAGCTATTATTCAGAAAGATCGATGTTGGGAGAGTTATGGTGCTTTTCCAATTTTTCGCAGTTCAACAAGTATGCATAAATGACGCTAAGTTGCTTGACATCTGCTTTTTTGTTCATGCAACTGTCTGTCATGAAGATATGTGACATTTCCAGGAATAAACGTTTTGATAGATGGTCTTCTCATACTAGCACCTTGATATCATTATATCCCATTTGCAGACTGCAACCTGTAAGATATGCTCTGGCTTCACATGTCAACACCACAGGGCATCAAAAATATATGTATATATATATATATATATATACTTCTTGGTGCCACTAATATGGCTACTTTCGCTTTGCTACTCGTAATTTGTACGTATAATTGAATAGTAGGTTAGCTGCAATTTAAATATAACGACACTATTGAGGTGTCAAGCTTTGATAAGTGAATAATTTGTTCATTTTCAACAGCTCTAAATCCAGGAAATGCATAAAGACAAACATTATTTTTAATCTGAAGATGATTGTTATCACAACCCCATAATTTGGGGTAATAACCGTGGACGGTTTTGGTAGATCACAGTACAGTGGATTGCCAAATTACTAATGATAGTAAGATTTTATATTATTGCCTTTTCGGGGTGAGGAAACGATAACAGTCTGGATTGTGATACGTATCGGTCATAAGTATTCTCATTCCTACCTTACTATTTCCATCAACAATATATTTTACTTCAATATTAAGAGGTACCTGGGCGCTCTGCTCAGTGGAATTAGTAATATTAGAAAAGTATTCCCAGTTTTTGCGTAAGTCATTCCTTGAGAAGGTTACAAATTGTAGTCAACTCAAGGACCTTTTGTTAGCTCTGCTCCAACATTATGGCCCAACGCAGTACCATATGAGGCCCCAAAAGTTTAATACTGCAGTTAAGGTAGATCTGAACAAATCGATACTCCTAGCCTGGCAGAAATCCCACTTAAGGATGGAGTCCGCGGCTATAGCTAGGCACATACATTTCCCTTTGGGATGCAGCCTCGTTTGAGGCTTTTTAAGCTAGCGCCGGCCACCAAGGAAAAGCAGGTGCGCGCATGTTGCGGTTGCCTGCTATGCAAACAGGACTGTATTAGATTTAACAAACCGTAAAACTATTTTTGCGAGGCATCACCGCTGAGTGACCAAATATTTATGTTGGATGCACTCAATGTGCAGAGTCTACTCCCTTATTCCCCACCGAATGAATAAATATTGCGCAAAGAAATACGTCTCTGGTCGTACACTATTTCCATTTTTTTATTAACGGCGACCAATTTTAGATTCTGTTTACTACCTATCTCATTTATGCATGCCAACGACCAGGTGTCGTCCAAACGTGAAGGTCGTCTTTGCCGCAAAAGAGTTGACAGCCTGGAATGCAGTTAACAGTTTGAGGTATTTTATATACTTTCATTATTTCCAAACGCAAATTTTTATCGGAACGGCAACTGCTGTAGCCACCACGGGAAGTCTGGGAAAAACGATGAGCAAATCTCCATTTGTGCCTCATGATTAACCGCTTTCCTAATTTTCAAGTTCAGTGAATCTCCTTTGGGCGGACACCAACAGGACCGACTAAAAGTGTCCGTTCAAGAGGGGTGTCCGTATAAAAGAAATACAACAAAAATCTTGTTTTTAATGGAAACTAAATATATTAAGGAAGCTGAGACATTTAAAACGTAAAGGTATATGAATGTTTTTGAAATAAACAAAAAACTTTAAGCTCAAGGAAGAAACGGTTTGTTACATTTAGATATATAAAACTATGTATGTACTCATACATACATATTCGTAGTAACAGAAAACAATGGAATGAAAAGTCACTTTAAGGATGCAAACTTTCATATATTGCCATTTGTCTCCTCTTTTTCGTTAAAATCGTAATTCAAATTTAGAAAGGAACTCCAAAGACTCTGTATGTCCCAGATTTTAGACAAAACTGTTGAGCTGCTTAGTTAGGGTAATAGCTTTACCATAATTTGGAGTAGATTCTGTTGGTAGTGGAACCTCGTCGACATCAGAATCTTCAGAAAGTTCTTGTATTTCAACTGGATTTTCAATTCCTTGACCTAAATATGGGTCTTTAACATACAAACTTTCATCTAGGTTCAAAAAATCATTAAGGTTTTCATTATCAGTCAATTTCAATAAACTCTTATTTTTCAGGATATCGGAAAATACATTAAGTGGTAAATTATCTTCTATGTCAGGTGTATCAGCCTCAATTGACTGGTCTTTTTCATGCTTAAATACTTGGCTCCAAGCTGTTTTTTCTAAATAAAATGCATCCAATGATGTGATTTTCTTTATTAACTCAAAAGCTGAACCAGTAGTTTCAATGTTTACTAGCAGGTGTTTGAGTATTAGCCTTTGATAATAACTTTGAAAATCTTTATAGTCCCTTGGTCAAGTGTCAATGCTTCTTTATTCTGTCCCCGTCTCCCGAACTAGGTCTTGCAACCACTCTATCATAATTTGTCTTATCATCTAAGTTTTTTAGTGCATTTTCAAGTTACAGACAGGTCATGTATGTTAATATTTTTAAAAGCTCTGGGTTTAGCTGCCTTATCACTGATTAGGAGTTTTTCTTTTTTACCCGCCATATTTACACAGTGCAAAATTGTAGACGTCTCTTTGGGATACTTACCCCTAACACATTTTTCGTTCTTTAATGTGAGCATTTTGTCGGCCAGAGCCCTAAAATACAGGCCTGCCTCATCGGCATTATAGACGTATCTCGGTGAATATCCCTTAATCAAAGAAGGAAAATTTTCCAATAACGATGAAATATCTTCAAAGTTAACCGAAGCTCCTCCTCTCGAAATCGCTATACAACTTGTATTGTGGCGAATTCTGAATTTATTGAGCCAACCAGAAGAAGCACTCCATGTATGTATAATTTCCCAGATAATCGGCTATTTATTTTGTTTTACATCATATTAGACGACCTAAAAAAATAAGTTGTTGCGTTTTTGTCATGACAAACCTATTGATAATCTCTTTCTTTTTATCTATTTTAGAATTCATATGTAAAGAAAATCCAAGCATTAATATATACAATCTTATTTAAAAAAAATAATATGCATACACACCTGTCAAAGGAATCCCCTTATGATGACCTGCTATAAACAGTCGTAGCACAATTTGTCAATTTTGGTACCATCACCCGTCAAAAAGCATCTGTTTTCATTCAAATTGCTGTTCGACATTCATTTACTTTATGATTAATTATATCTGAAGCGTGTGTGTTTCCAATATTAAAATGCTGGGATAAGTTCCTTACACTTAACTGGAGCCATTTCTACAATGATTGTTGAATCGAAAGCGTGTACCCAAAGAATAAGAACAGTAAGTCCCCGACCGACTCGGGGAAGTCCATAATTCACGCCGGGCAGAAATGCACCACATAGGCGCGTTTATACCGAAAAATTAAAGTTGGGGAATTCTCGGTTTACTTGAGAAAGTCCCAGCAAAGATTGCGCGCAGTACGATTGAAATACTCTCAACAGAAAAAAAATAAGACAAGGCGTTTCTTTTTATTTTATTTTTTGACTGGTTAGGAGGACATCTTTTCATGTCCGCGTCCGTTCAAGAGAATTTCGAGAGTTAATGCAATGCAAATTATATGTGAGTCCGGTCAGGACCATGAGAAATTGTCCGTTTAAAGAAGGTGTCCGTGTAAGAGGGGTGTCCACGAAGGGAAAGTACACTGTATTTAGTCAATTTAAATGTTTTTGTATATGCTCACGAATATTTAAGGACAACTGGTTGTGTAGAAAATTTACAAAAAGCTAATTCTACACTTCGTGCGTTTGGCAAATATGCTTACAACTTTCTGTATCTTGGATCGTTTTCTAGTGTCCGGCCTATTGGCATGTCCAGGGAGTTATGCTGATACCGAGGCCTAAATGGTTATAGGAACCCAAGAATTCTGGAAAATGTGTTGTCTGCTTTGCGTTCCTCAGGAATTCCGAGAAGTTGTCAGCTTTTAGGAGAAAAAAATTACGTACAGGCAAATGGCCCTTGACTCTAAGAATATAGGTTGCAGCTAATGCGTAACCAACTTCAGATCATTTCCATATGGAGGAGGTCAATTAGCATCATTCAATCTATGTTATGCTGCTTCCTCCCACTTCTTTCAATATCATACTGAATGTAGTGCCTATGCAAGACAAGCCAGCGCCCAATTTATGTGTAATAAATTGGAGCTATCATAAGATAATTCTGGTGAGGTCAACTGCCATGAGCTCGTTGTGTGCAATACTGTCAATAAGTACTGTAGCTTGGGATGGCCAATACCGTCACAATTATATATATATATATATATATATATATATATATATATATATAATAAATATTGTAATGAGCCACCATAAGCCCGCAATGTGAAATTTGTAAAACAATATATTTTAGTGGCTTTACCATATTCATCTTAAAAAAGTTAAGTTCTTTGTTAAATGAATTATTTTTATTATGCATAGTAATTTAACTATCAAAATGTCATGCTACTTCTGATGTTACCCCTAAATACCTATACACACGGTACTTATACACATGGAAATCTACAATATAAATAATTGTTTTATGTTTATGTGGAAATTGTGGACACGACATATAAGTGATAAAAAATTTGATAACAATTCGTAAGTATACAAATTTTCACGAAACATAAAGAACACCAGTCTTGTTTTGTTTGTTCATGCACGTACAATGGGAATATTTATCGAAATCATCTTTAGCTATTTGGCAAACATTATTACGCCTTAATTTTTCCATTGGTATTCCTCAATATTTTATTCAAAGCTTTTTTTATAACATTCTCACAAAATAGCAAAGGTAGCAATAACTTCCGATGATCCAACAACACTTCAATCCATGTTACAAGAATAGCAAGGTCAGCTGCCAAAACTTATGTCTAGCCTGGGGTACCGACGGAGCCATTTCGAACGTCAAGGCGTCAATTTCAAAATTTTCATTTGCATTTTTTAAGTGTTGTGCCACGATTTCGGGGAAAATTTCATCTTGTAGAGCCTAGTAGAGTATATTGACGGGTCCAACGAGAACTGTTGTAACTCAAAATCCACAGTTTTGAGTAAATCGACTTTACAGGATCAAGCAATTGTGATAAATCGGCGTTTTAAGTAAGAGTATTGATAGTTTGTTGATCGAGTAATCAATATATGTAGATTCTTTTAGGACACAGTAATAATTATTAAATAATTATGAATAATAAAATAAATATTATTCCTAGCTAGATAAACTATAA